ACCACTGCGAAGATAAAAGCTTCATCTTAATAAGTATGTTTTTCAACTCAGCTGAGAAAAGCCCGCACAAGTTTTGTCCTTGCTTTTCAGGATGGCTTCTGATTTCCAAAAACGCCAGGAGACCAAGAGGGCACTGCTGGCTTAGATGGAGCACTTGTAGGTGGCTCTGGTTGAATGGGGAAGAAAAGCAACGCCTGGGGAGCAGGGAGGGATGGCAGGGGTTGTAAAATCTGGGTGCTTCATTAGAGGCCCTTTTCAGTGGAGCATATAAACACACATCTCGGTTGCAGTGATGTTAATGGGATTTCAACATGTGCCTAGGCATTATGATGAGCGGAGCTGATTTGTTCACATGAGAGCCTAAGAGAACTTTTCCTTTCTTCATGCACCAGAACCTCTTTAAAATCAATGTGTTTATGCACCCGTGCATGTGAGGAAGGAGAGTTACCCTTCAAAAATCCATTAGAATTTATTCTAGGTAAGTAAGCCAAAAGCACTTTGACAATTTTGACCGCCTTCGCACATTTCTTCATTTGGAGAAGCTTATTGTTTTTCTCCTCTTGTTACTAGGCAAAATATATGATGCCAGGTGCTAATAAAAACAAACAAACAGAGGGAGAAAAACAGAGAGAGAGAAAGAGAGAGCAGAAATGTTTCTGATTTGGCGTGTAACAAATGACCTGAAACCTCTTTTGTGATCATAGCAAACGGCGAGAAGACTGGGAGCGATCAATCTTTGTGCGATTAAAAGAGGGAGGCTACAGGCTGCGAGAGAATATTCTGTTCCATCTGTATGTGAGCACTTCACCCTGCGGAGATGCACGCCTCAACTCCCCCTACGAAATCACAACCGACTGTAAGAAAAAAAATCTTCCCTCTTCTTTTTCCCCTTTGCGTGGGTTTTTTCTATTTTTTTTTAAGATTAGTCCTTCTTTCTTTCTTTGTTTGCTTGGAGAAAATGATCCACTTGAGAGCAGAAACACTATGGCCTGTGTGTGGTGTGTGTGTCTGTGCAACTGATGCTTTGTCCCGTGTACTGGGGGAAGATATGCAGGAAAAATCAGGGCTGGGCAAGGCGGCAGGAGACTGCTCTGTGTGCCTGAGGCTCAGTGGCTCTGCTAGGGAATATGTCCCCATCAGCTTGCATCTCCTGCTAGGAAATGCAACCCCAACAGTAAATAAATGCCTTGGGAAGGGTGCCCGTGATCAAAGAGATCCTTGAAGCCACAGCCATGGGCTGGACCAGAGGATCAGGACTCTAGCTGGGGATGCATAGGCTCTTCGCAGGGTTCAAGCAGTGTATATGGGTTGAAGGGCTGCATTTACACTAAACTTGAGCTGTCCAGGCTGCAGCAGCTGGAGTCTGAAGTAGAGCAATGACATGATATGATGTAATATGATATGGACATCTGTAAGTTGGTTGAAGGTCAAACTCTTTCCAAATACCACCTGCATTTGCATTGAATAATGTCAAGACCCTTCTGGAAAGGATCCTTGCCAGGCCATGCTGTCAAATCAACTGCATGGTCACTGCAAGGCAGATGGGCTAGATGGAGTCCATCAGGCCAGCCCTGGAGTCTCTGGGCCCATATCAATGGCATTGGAGCAGAAACATGGATTTTCAGGGATTTCTCTAGAGGTGATTCTGCAAACAATGTAAACAAATCAGGTCTTGAGCCAGTGTGTGCCACCAACAGACCTGCAGAGCTTGTTGTCCATAGAGATATACCGTCTCTACCACATGACCCAGCACTCTTAGCTCATCATCCTCCAAACAAGCATGTCCCTGACACTGCCCTGCCATCTCAAAGGCATGTCCTTGTTACATTCCCACTGTGCCAGCTTTGCTCCTGCCTAGCCACAGGGAATGTCCCCCAACAAGGGACAAGTAACTCAAGAAGTCTGTGGCTTGTTATCTTACGTGTCTGTCACCCCATGATCCAATGCACAATGCACAAGGTGCACTCTTATCTCTGCCTCTACATATTGCTTCTCATACATGCATTTTGCAGTGCTCTAATACCTATAGTGCTAGCTGCTAAATGTACACATAATGAGAAAAAGTCCTTGCCCCAACTACCTTGAACGTGAAGCAGGCAAGACAGAAGAATGGATGGAGGAGGAAGCATAGACACAGGAATGTAAAATTTATCATCCAAGGTCACACAACGACCTAACTTCCTCACAGTCAAATGCATCAGAGAGTAGTTTCACTCCTGGTTCTGATTTGTACAAGTTATTTATTAACGATTAGGTATTATTCTCCCCAGACTGGAATCTTTCTGTCATGTGTGAAACAGCAGCTCACTGGGGTGAGAAGGAAAGGAAATACACTTCCTTACCTGACATAATTTCTACATTCTGTCAGCAGGGCTTGTAAAATGAAGAAAAGCAAGTAAATGTTTAAAAGGCAAGCAGCAAATTGACAAGTTCCTGATGAGGTAACAAATAGAGAAGTAACATCATCTTAAAAAGAAAATTAAAAATAAAAAAGGAAGGGCTTAGAATATCAAAAACTAATAGTGATTTTTGGCCTCCCACTTTATGTGTGTATCAAGAGATATCTAATTTTTATTAGATTTGTTAGATATTTATATTTGGTTAAAAGCTCTCATGTTTTCCAGAAGGCAGGCTTCCTGGGGCCCCCCTTACTTTGCATCAGAAGTGTAAGAACCAAAATCTGTAATTATTTCTAAAATGTGATCCATTTTCAAGAAAAACTGATGGCTGTTCAGGATGGGTTCTGCTCTTCCATGCACAAGGAAGTGGGTGCTCTGTGCAGCTGACAGCCAGCACTGCCTGTTGATATGCAGCTGAACCCAGCCATGGAGGAGAACTGTACTTGGCTCATGGATTGCTTCAAAAAGCACATAAATCTACCAGCTAGTGAGGGAGTGTTCTTTAGATAACAGTTCATACAGGAAGCTGTGTTTAAAAATATGTAATCACGCAGCACCTGACACATACAGTAATACTTTTCATGTTAGTTATTACACTGATTATTGTCCTGATGCAGAAGGTGAGGCAAAAAGGGCTGTGTGGCATACCCAAGGTTACACAGTGATTCAGTAGCAGGACTTGAAGGGGCACTACGTCTGGTTTGTAATTCACTCTTTTAAGCAGATCCCTCTAACTTTGTCCTGTGCTCTTAAAATAATTTAGCACTGTGTAAAAAGCCATGTTGCCAAAATCTGTCCTTCAGTGAGATAAGCATTTCCTTTTAGCTCACATTATCCCAGAGACATCTGGGAAGATAAGTGTTTTATAATGTTTATCATTCAGATCTTCTCTTTTCTTTTTTTTTTTACTAAAGAAATAACCTTTCTTTCATCCAGTAATGACAAGAAACTCCAGATGAATGTTGTTTCATTTCTTAAACAACAAAGAAGCCTCTCCTAGAGCCAGCACAAGCCATCAAACGTTACTGATTATTCTCTAAAGATGCATTAACATTTAAAAACGGTGTCTCGCCATGTGGTTTCTGGTTTTGCAAAGGAATATGATAAGCCTTTATCAATACAGGGAGTGAGTAAAATCCACTTCTCAAATCTTCTTCCAAAAATTTCCTATTATCCACCGTGTCTTCCCAGCACCCTCAGGGAGGCCTCACATTTCCTTCTTATAAGCTTTGTTCTGGTAAGGGAGGAGATAAGCTAGCATGCACTTGAAACCCAGTTTGCTTCTTACTGGATAGTGCCGGCTACCAAGTTAGCAGCATGTGTAAAAGTCTGACCTTACCATCATTGATGTGAACAGCTGCAATGCAGAGGAGAGGTCCAGGGAGCCCACACCCATGCCGAGTTTGTGCAGGAAAGTAAGAGACTAGGGACAAAAAGATAGAATCTCACTTTGGTTCACACTGATGCCCTTCTTTGATCGGAGATCCTTAGGCAGCTCTAAAAGAGATGCAAAATCCAGCTGGACCACGGCTGCTCTGAGCATGGAGGGGTTTTCTAACTCTTTTTTAGTGCCCCTAGGTCAGGAGGCTGGAAGAGCTTACGGGGTGACTCAAGCTTTGGGAGAGGCAGGTACAACCTGACAGAACAGGGGAGGAGGACAAGGGGAGAGATATAGGAGTGAGTAACAGCAGGAGACATCAGTCAGGGTCAGTGGTATTGCAGGAATAGGAGGCTGAGAAACACCAGAGGGGTTTCAGACAGTTGTGAGAGTTTCTGTGAGTTTGTCCTGGCTCATCCTCTCCAGCCAGTCTCCTTCCCACGTTTCTTTTCATCATTTTCCAAGGCCACCCACAAGGTTGTAGCACAGCTACATGGTGAATAGGCAGCATGTTCTCAGTGTCCTCACAACTCTAATTGCTCCTTCACACACTCAGCTTCTGTCCCTGCTTCAGCTCAGTGCTGTATGTCAGGGAGCCTTGGACAACATCTCCTTTTCTGGTACCTTCTTCCTTTGTGTATATCTGAGCAAGGTATGCCAGGATTTCTGACTTCTCCTGAGGGCAGTGTGGGAGCACCAAGTTAACATGGGTTTCTTGAAGGTTTTAAGGCGGGTGATGTATTCCCATTACAGCATACACGCTCCAGCTCACAAGATGGAGCCATGGGGGCAGCTAGCCCTGTAGTATTTGTTGCATATTTTACACCTTCTACTGAATCTAGGACAAACCACAGAATAATCAAGCCCTTGATTTGCTAAAGTGCCTTCCTAGCTAATTTAGGGCTTCTTGACTCACTGGCCTTTTTTTTTTTTAAGAGTCTCTTGAAAAGCAAAATGAATTGCTTAAAAAATTGAGCTAATAAATTCTCCACTTCCCCACTCCTCCTTCCCTGTCAGGATTTTACCTCATTGTCCATCTTTCTTTCAGAGATGCACTCTGCCTTTTTCACTACAAGTATTTCCAAAGAGACAAACAGCATCTGCCCCAGGGCTTGTCTCAAATCTTCTCCCCTGGGCTGCTTTTCTATCTCTTGCTAACATGCTGTATTGCCTTGTACCATTGACTCCTTGATAGCCCAGCTCCTGTTTTATCCCACACTCCCTTTAGGTCTGAAACACACCATTGCATCTGCTCCACATGGGGTCTTCCTCCTGCTTGTCTATTAACCTACAGCTGTGCTGAAGCTCTCATGCACACACATTCAACAGAGCTCTCATCTAAACAGGATCCACTTGCAACCACGTGAGCTGGATCGTTGCCTTGGTAGGTGATGTGATGGGGAGAAGTACACTGCAGTTTTCAGAGAAGTTGTGGAACTGGAAAGTACTCAGAAACACAACTTTGCCCTCCCTCCTTCAAGTGTGCTTTCACTGTGCAATCCTGTGCTTTCCCTGCTTGTGTTTCTGGCTGCTGGATTTTACATCCCATTCTCAGATAAAATGCTCTCTGTTAACCCCTCAAATCTGGGGCTGCCTCAAAGGATTGCCCTGCTCACACCAGAGACTCAGCACTCTGCGTTCAGATGGGGCTGACCCAGATTGCATCAGTATATAATCCCCAGATCAGAGTCCCTGAAAGCCATATCCTGAGCAGACTGGCTGGAGAGGGGCAGATTCAAACAGAGGCCATCTATGGAGCCTGTTCGTCTCCAAGAAATGGACACGAATGATCTCCTTCAAGTGTCAAGAGACTCTCAACTCCAGCGTTCTGCATTTGGGGTCCTGCAGGCAGGTATCAGGGTAGGAATACGATGAGGATGCTTATGGCAGCATCTGGGCTAGAATCACTCCCAAAAGCATTGGATTTGAGCATATGTTATTGGATGTGCAAGGGGAAGAAATCTCTGCCCTCCCTCTGCAACCTCATGTTTTGTTTAAATGGACAAATTCTGTTCTTGTGAGTACGTGATAAGGGGTGAGGGAAGCACTTCAAGAAGAACCATCTGAATAACTCAGTGA